CTAGTTTAGATTATTTACCCTTGTGTTAATTATATATCCTTGCATATATCTTATAGTATATCTCTTTGCTAGGATATATCTCTTTATTCATATTGTTTATCCTAGCTCATATATCTTATTGTATTTCATAATTGCTAGGATAACTTGTTAATTAGTTTTAATTGGTATAAAATCGGATTAGATTAGCATAAGAACCTAATCACCCCCCTCTAGGGTCTAACATATCCATGGCTGTAATAGAATCATCAATTTTCTCTGCACCCTCGCGAGTTGCTCTATCGGTGCCCACTAACACACATATATCATCCCAGTTCTCAATAGCTTTGTTTTGATATGCCTTGGCATCTGAATTTACCTATGCAAGCATGAGAACATACAAAAACATAGTGAGACAATCTAGTAACACAACACCATATATCAATAAGATTTTGAACATCACTCACTTTTTGAATCTAGAATATATACGATGAAAGAGCAAAGACATAATTTATGTCAACTATCTATCACTATTCAAAAGAGTGAACAGTCAATATTTATCTCCAACAATGTAGAACACATTAAACCTTGTTTTGTGCCGTATTCTTCCTAATGACAATAACATCAACCGGGAAAACATGAACACAAAGACTGCATAAAAGAAGAACCACGAAACACATATGTAAGTAACTCTACTTAATCCTAGCATTGAGTTCTTTCCATTTTCTGAGTTACACTGGTCAACAAATCATTTAATACCAAAGTTAGCCGCAAATGTTAAACAGTATGTACATAATTATGGACAAAATCAAACTAATACATAGTAAGACAAAGATTTATGAACATGTGTTGTAGATATTTAACATACCTCATAATATTTGGTCCAATCTACCAAGTCCTCAATGGTAATTACCACCATTTTCTTATCATCATCCCATCAAAACTTGGTTTTTGTCATTATTTCAGTGATGATGGCATAGTGTCTCTTCCAAAGTTTTACCCTATTCCTTACGTGATCCACCGTGATAGACAAACCCAATTTGGATTTTAACTCATCAACAATAGCTTGATAAGCTTGAGGCTTCCAATCCCCCTCACCTTTATTGCCTTGGTTTAGTTGATTGTAAAACACGGCCGTCAGTATCATGTCCATTTGTGGATTCCAAGTAAGAAAGCTCTTTTCCTACCTCCTTGTGTAGGAGGCAAAGTCTCTTTACCTTTTCTAATCATTACCTTAAAAAGAAGGAAATCATATTAGTAGGAAAACTCTAAAGTCAGAGAAACTTCATTGAACAAAACAAAAAGAAGATATTATAACAAATCAATAGCCCACGAGCAAACTTTACAATATTGAACACATACAATTGTTACGAAACTGTCAGTTGATTTCATTGCTTAAGCGACAAAGCGGGCAAGAGCTTATAAGTACTTGCTAATAACAGTCATCTGCCCACATATCAAGAATCAAACTAATGATTTCAAACCTAAGGTATTCGTCCTAATTCTGCAGAAATCAAAAGTAACAGAAAAACCCTCTATAGAAGAATTTCACACGCGAATAGCATGTTTACAGAAAAACACCCTTATTAATACTTGCAGCCTGTTTCTGTACGCTTTAACTCGTATAGTTTCAGGCAAAATACTACAATATGTAACTTCAAAATGAAAAACTGCAGAATTAAAGACCACGTGACGATTTTACAAAAATTTTCTAAACAGACCATCGCTTAAGCAGACTTCACTGTGGCAGCATTGATGATGTCCACAAATTCAGGCTGAAGCAAAACAAACACAATAGAGTGAGGCAAAAAGAAATTGTAAAGGTCTCTAAAAATTAAAGCAGAAGAAATGTAGTTCAATCGTTTCTTTTTTGCTCTTCAGTGGTAATAGGAAAACTCGAGGTGAGAGACTATTTACAACTGACCCAAAAGTAATTAAGATATAACAGCTTGCTAGACGTTTGGTATCGGCGTTCAAGAGAAGATTTCTTTTTGTTTCATGTGATTATGATGCATACTTTTCATCAAAGAAACAAGATATAAAGAAAAACTTGAATTTCATAGATAACAATTACTTGAATTCCTTAACAACCCTCAACACATAGCTCATAGATTCACAATTCAAAGGTCAAGAAAATCTCAAGTAGCACGAGCTCTCCGAGCTTGATATTCATTGAACATCTCCAAAGCAATATCATCTCTGAACAAATTCCATTCATCCGTTGCTCGAGCACTTGTAATGTAATCAACATCAACCTCATTGTCGCTATCAAATGTGTCTGTATTTTCAAGCTCCTCATCCACCTCACGCAACAAATCATTCTCTTCCATATTTTCATCTCTTACGAAATTGTGAAGAATAAAACAAGCATTTATAATCCTAATTTGAGTCTTTTTGTCAAAGAAGCTTGCTGTTCTAAGAATGACCCATCGTTTCTTCAACACTCCAAAAGCTCTTTCAATAGTATTTCGAGCAGATGAATGTCGCAGATTGAAGAGCTCCTTGTAATTTGTTGGAGTAATCCCTCGCCACAAATTCAAATGGTACCGAGTGCCTCTATACGGAGCTAAGAAACCCCGACTATTGGTGAACCCCAAATCCACAAGATAATACTTATCTACAACATCAATATTACCATTTTAGCTTAAACATGAAAAAACTAGTTAAAAAAGGAAAGTCTATCAACACCAAGCTAATGTCTTACTTGTTGGTACTTTTAAACCATTAGGCCTCTGCAAAGCATCACGAAGGATAACACCAAGCTAATGTCTTACTTGTTGGTACTTTTAAACCATTAGGCCTCTGCAAAGCATCACGAAGGATGCGAGGATCAGATGCGGATCCTTCCCAGCTTTTAAACCATTAGGCCTCTGCAAAGCATCACGAAGGATGCGAGGATCAGATGCGGATCCTTCCCAACCAGGTAAAACATAAGTAAATTGGAGATTGGGATTGCACAAGGCAAGGACATTATAGTTTCTCTGGAACGAAAAAAGATTGCTCCAACAATTTGATTCTTCAAGTTATAAGAAATAACATGTAGAGAAAATACCACAGCTTCTCTCACCGTGACATTCCTAGAAGTCACCAATCCCCCTTTAGATCGTAAAATAACACACAACTTCTCAAAACAGCGTCTATTAAGACGTAGTTGCTCCCGACATATTGTATCATTCATTAATGTGTCCATCCAGATGGCTCTTTTATCTATTAAGACGTAGTTGCTCCCGACATATTGTATCATTCATTAATGTGTCCATCCAGATGGCTCTTTTATGAGCACGTACATCTTCACTCCATGCATATTGTATCATTCATTAATGTGTCCATCCAGATGGCTCTTTTATGAGCACGTACATCTTCACTCCATGTTATCTCCTTGTTGCTAAACCTTCTTCTATGACGGTATGCTCCAACTACCATTATTATGAAAGTCACAATTATGATAACTAGCTTTTTTTTTCTCATCATCTTCACCTACTTCTTCCCTTACACGTTTCCTTTGACCATGTAAACTGTGTTGGTCTGACATTTTCTCCTAAACTGTTTCATCATCAAAATTTAATGTGTAAAACTATACTTATCTAAGAGATTTCATCATCAAAATTTAATGTGTAAAACTATACTTATCTAAGAGATAGAATCAGACCATGTAACATGGAGTAAATGTAAAGGAAACTATACTTATCTAAGAGATAGAATCAGACCATGTAACATGGAGTAAATGTAAAGGAAAAGAATAAAAAAATTTAGAATTACTAAACGAAATTATCAAAGACTAAAGATAACAATATGAAACAAAAAGTAAATTAATAACAGAGCCAATGATATCAGGTACATGTTCTTTACTGTGATATCTGCCAATGTCTGATATTCACTCATAATTGTTCACAATCGTTCATTTCAATTATGTTGTTGGATCAATTCCACACAAATTGTTTTAAAATACAAATGACTCTAAGCAAATGTTAGCAAATGCATCTCAATTTTGTAACAGAAGCAGAATATACATTATGCATTTCTTCTTATAATCATAACCGAGTAGAAACAAATACACAAAACAATGTTCTCACAACAACACATGCATCTACATCTTATACTAAATCTTAGGATATATCACTGACAATATCATTCAAATGTGGGAATTTGTCCTGTTCACTGAGAATAAAATAGATAAATCATCACTTCTTAAATAACTAAATGACGAGATCATTAATCAAATTAATAACAGATTCAAAGGATTCTTATTGAAACACATAACACAATGAAATCAACAACTAGGCATTGAAATAAGAATATAAATTAAAAAGAGCAAACCAATCAAAATTCAAAAAAATAAATCGCAGTTCTCCTAGATCTAGGATCTCACCGTTGTATTATTGGCGTCGCCCAAGGTGAGATTAGTACATGTGAACCGTCACTGTTTGGATCGTCGTCGCCGGTTGGATCTAGGATTCGTCGCCGGTTGGATCTAGGAACTAGGGTTTTGATGGATCTGGAGAGAGAGAGCGATAGCGTTGACGCCGGTTGGATCTAAGATCTAGGGTTTTGATGGAACTGGAGAGAGAGAGAGAGAGAGAGAGAGAGAGAGAGAGCGCAACTGAGAGCTGAAGTGAGGAGAGAGAAATCACAGCTCCAGAAAAGGAAATGGCGGAGGCGGAAGCGGAAGTGGGAGAGAGATCGCGGGTGAAAAAAATTGCGGAATTGTAAATGACAGGGAATAGGGTGGGATTTAGAATTCTGGGTTTATTACCGGTTTACAATGTTAATGGATTTGGCCCAATATCCAGGATTCAAATTCTTTTGAATCCAAACAATGTAATTGGCCCAATTACGATATTTGAAATGAAATACGGGTTTCCAAACAGGCCGTTACAAAGAAATATAAAAAATGTTCATATCTGATAACCGAACACAACATATCAGAGTGTGAGAAAAACAACCACTTGCTCAAGGAAATTGCATCAACCAATGTAGGCATCATATTCCATGTCTATTTTCAAATCATCATCATTGTAGGTAATTATCCATTCATGATAAAAATCAATGTACATTTTTTTTAGGCAGAAATATGGGGAATTAGGGGTTTATTAGCATAGCGTTAATGGTGTTTATTCAATATTCAATACATATCTTTTAACACGTTGATGAAGTTTAGAACCCGTCTTAATATTGTAATAGTTGAAAGATCTGTAATCCTCCAACTCCAATCCATTATGCATCAAAATTTGAAGCTCCTCCGGTGTTCCCTCCAAATAATTCATAATGTTCTTGATGCACCAAACGACATCAGAGCCCTTCACTCGAAAACGGAAGATGGTCCCTTGCCATGTCTCCAATTTTATGAAAATCTTTGCGTTTTGATTTGAGACCCTACTGCAGTTTGCATTGCTCATCGTACCTTCTCTTATTACTCTCTGATCGATCTGCAATATGAAACAAGAAAGAAAAAGAAAAAAAAAGGAGATTAAGATTACGACAACAAACTTGTAGGAACTTAAAAAAAAAAAGAAAATCAAATTATAATAGACTTACATACGAAAAACACTTGCTCGGGATGAAAGAAGTCACAAGAATAATGAAAAATAATTGAAGGGACAAGTTTTGATGAGTACGTACATATATCATCCATCTATAGTGCAATAGTTTGATTCCTATATCATCAAGATACGTGTTCCTGATTTTAATATTTTGGTGGTTTTGCTCATTGTTTTCTTTGCCAATAAATGTTTACCATCTATACATTAATTAATGTAACAATGAGACTTCCCTTTTAACAGAGACAATGAATGTAGAGCCTTTTCTTAGAGAATCACACAATTATTTAGAGACATGGAATCTAGCATCCTGTAATATTAATTCGGAAAAGATTAATTCCTATTCATCTAACAAAATGTAAATAAGTTTGAGCACATTGTAAAAAAGAAAAATAAACCAAATATTTCTCTGGCTTGGAAATGTTTCAAACATGTAACATGTAATGATGATGTTTTTTTTTTGAAACTTGTTAAACAATATTTATTTTAAAAAATTAGAATAAAATCACTATTCAATAATATGCAGAGTAGATGTTGCTTGGAAAAACAAAAAATAAAAAGCTTTCATGGTTAAGGACAATGATTAAACCTACAAAGAAAAATCTTCAAAAGGGACTAAAACATCACAATTAAGAATTATTTACCATTCAATTCAACATTAAATAAAGTTTAGAATATAAAATAGATATTCCAGAGAGAAAAAAAAACAACTCTAATCAAAGAAAGGATTAATCTCTCTCACCTTCCCCATTGTTGGTACTTTAAACCTCGGCAGGCGATAAAAATAAAAAAATAAAAAATAAAACTCTCTTCTCCCGTACATATAAAGGCAAATGGAGCCGATTAAATTTCCAATTCAGATTAGGGTTTGTATTAGGTAAGGTTTTTGTTGTTAATTTGAAATTTAAAAAACAGAAAATTTTTGTGATGCCCATGGTCTTGGGCCCACTTATGAGCCCAATGTTGAAAAAGAGCATTTTGTTAGTTGGGCTGCAAATGGGTTGGGTTCAGCTGCATCTTCATGGATAGTTCTATTTTGTTTGTTTTTCCGATAAAGATGCTGTGTGTAATCATGCATCACAATGTAGGAAGTTTGAATAATTATTCCTTGTCCTTCTGTGATATGAGCTTCTCATTTGCATATATTTGTACATAATTTATTGTCTTTGCTTTGGTAATTGTATCAATAAATCATTTGACTGTCGACACAGAGTTATAGATGAATCATTTTGAAAAAAAGATCTGTGGGACTGTTTTCAAAATATGAAGATGTAATGGACTAACATGAATGAAACCCTTCTTTTCTGATTTCAACTTGGTACCCCCATGGTTTATCCAGTTTTCACTTTTACACCCTAAGTACTTTTAACACTTTGATACCATAAATATTTCAATCTCATTTCACTTTGATACCCGAAAGTAGTCTTTAATCTTTTAATATCCTTGAGTTTCAATTTAATTTCAGTTTGATTCCCTGTTGATATCTTGTTAGATTTTTCGTAAGTTTGGTATCGCGTCCTTATCAATTCGGTAAAATAGATCTGCACGTATCATATTCTAAGGATGCGACACAAACTTAATTGAAAATCTACCAAAATGTGGAGAGGGGTAACAAAGTGAAACGTGGTTGAAACTTTGGCATATGGACGTGCTAATTAAATGCTTGGGGGTATGGAAGTAAAACGGTACTAAGAGACTGTTGGGTTACCGAAATGTTATTAAGTAAAGATACCTGAGGGTATCAAAGTGAAAATACGGGTGAACTCTGGAATAGAAGTGAAAAAAGGACCCGCGCTGCCCATCTCTATCTCCAGGCTTAGAGCCATCTACGGAGAGGATCAGCCGCCCGTGGACCGAGGTAATGATTTCATTGGGTTTTTTTTAATGGGGATATTGATGATGGGTTTTGGTTTGATTGGGGTTTGGAAGGAAAACCCATGTTGGATATGACTTACAAGTTTTTTTTAATATGCATTAGTATCGATTTCCTTTTTAAAGTTTGATATTGATGGAGAGGATCAGCCTCCAGTGGATCGAGTTAATGGTTTGAGTGATTTGGATGGAGTTTATTTGGGTTTGGGAGGAGACCCATGTTGAATAGTGAGTTAATAATGAAGAAATTTGGATTTAATAGCGTTGGATGAGTGGGTTCTTTTGATGGTTTTTTATTTTTAATTGATATTTTTTGAGATAAATACAATGAATTAATTTATAATTTTTATACCATTAATTTTCATTTTTTAAACTCTATAAATAGAGATTAACTTTGTGTCATTTGGACACCAAAAAAAATCTGAGTTTCTACATCCCATTCTTCTTCTTTCTACAATTTGAAGCTAGTTTCTTCATGGATCTTTCACAAAACTATCCTAATTTTTCCTACAACTACAACTTTCCTAACCAACCTCAAAATACCCTCCCTCAACCACAACATCCAAATATACAACGCCCCGAAAATACTCAAAATACGGGGATGCAGTCCAATTTTCAAATGCCGTATATGATGCAACCAAATTTCGGCATGCAATATCCTTATCTTCCTTACGGTTATCCTCCAGTTCCGGGAAGCAGCTATGTTCCCTCCCATATGAATTATCCTAACACGGAGTCGAGTGAGCTAGCGACACCCCGGTTTAGTAGCGGATCTACAGATATCCCAAAATTTTCCACCCAAATGTCTTTGGGAAATGTTGGTGGGGATACTCCTCACAGTTTTGTCCCTCCAACCCAACAATCAGCAAAGAGATCAAGTTATGAAACTTGGACCACCGAAGACAACATACTTTTACTAACTGGTTATTTTCACGTTAGTAATGATAGTGAGTTGGGGAACAACCAAAAGGGTGAAACTTTCTGGGGTAAAATTACACAATACGTGAATGAGAACGTCAAAAGTGGAAAGGAGAGGATTGTGTTTCGGTGCCATAGTCATTTCAAAGACATCAACAGAAAGATATCCAGTTTCATTGGCTGCTACAGTACTGCATGTAGGGAGAAGCGTAGCGGTTGGTCCGATGAAAACTACATATCCAAGGCAAGAGAGTTGTACTTTGAGAAAATGGGTACGACGTTTAATTTGGTGGATGAGTGGAAGGTGGTTCGTAATCAACCCAATATATGACAGGAGAAAATGCATCCGGTAGTAGTGGCTCTAAAAGAAAGAGTAGTGGTGAGGATGTTGAATCATCAACTCCTACCCTTGTACGTCCAGAGGGTAGAGACGTGGCAAAGAAGAAAGCTAGAGGTTCCTCTAGTAAAACATCTGTGTCAAGGAAATCAAAGGGGGCAATTGAGGAGGAGTTATCTAAGCTAGTCAGTGCTCATGAAAAATTTGAAGAGAAAAGATCAAGTACTGCTTCAGCTATGAATAACCTGGCTCATTCCAAGAATATGGAGATGTGGTTATTCTTGAAAAACAAACCAGATCGTGACGATGAGACGTGAATAAAAGTGTTGTTTATTTTTGAATAAAAGTGTTGTTTATGTTTCAATAAAGCCGATTGATAATGACTTCTCACTGCATAATAGTACAAAAGATACAATTACTACTCACTGCAAAAACAAACAAATGTTGAATTGACCTTTCACTGCAAAAAATACAAAGGATGAAATGACTACACCTGCATAATAATACAAAATATGAATTGACAACTCTCTGCACATGCATGCCCTATGACACATGTCTCTGATGTTGCATGCCCTACGACACATGTCTCTGATGTTGCATGTCCTATGACACATGTCTCTGCAATTGCATGTGAATTCAATTATTTGAACAACTACCATTCATTATATAAACTGATCAGATGCACATCATAAGTATACCTATCAACATTTTAAAAATCATAACATCCAATGGATCCTTTCCTAAATGAGTTTAGTCTAGAAGAGTTCCAACAACAATGGGAAATAGAAGAAAAAATACTTGATAGGCAGCGAGAACTTCTTGAAGAATTGCAAAGGAGAAGCGAACAACCACGTAAGAGGAAATCCATACATAGAGATCATCATGCAGCGCATGAGAGACTCATGGCCGACTACTTTGCCGAGTCATGCACTTACACTAACGCCCAGTTCCGACGCAGGTATCAAATGAAAAGGCCTCTCTTTCTACGAATTGTGGACTCTATATCAAATTACGACGATTACTTCACACAACGGCGCAATAATGCGGGCAAGCTTGGGTTAACGCCTATCCAGAAGTGTACGGCTGCCATACGCATGCTCGCATATGGAGTCGCAGCCGATGCTTGTGATGAGTACGTCAAGATAGGAGAATCCACTGCTATCAAGTGTACTCGCAAGTTTTGCGAATGGGTAATAGCATTGTTTCAAGATGAATACTTACGACGACCAAATGTGAAAGACTTGCAGAGGTTGCTCCAAGTTGGACAGGAACGTGGATTCCCACGGATGATTGAAAGTATTGATTGTATGCACTGGCAGTGGAAAAATTATCCTAAGGCTTGGCAAGGGCAGTTTACTAGTGGACACATGGGGACGGTAACAGTTATCCTCGAGGCAGTTACGTTATATGATTTGTGGATATGGCATGCTTTTTTAGGGCTTCCTGGTAGTTTGAATGACATAAATGTACTAGATAGGTCACCGGTTTTTGACGACATTGAGTCGGGTGAAGCTCCACGGATAAACTTCACCGTGAATGGGCGGGAGTACAATCTTGCATACTATCTTGCCGACGAAATCTACCCTAAGTGGCCTGTCTTCGTGCAGTCAATTCAAATGCCCCAAGGCAACAAACATCAATTTTTTGCCAAACAACAGGAATCATACATGAAGGACGTGGAACGCGCATTCGGGGTACTCCAAGCACGCTTCGCTATTGTCCGCCAACCAGCTAGAATGTGGGATCTTGATGTCTTAGGAAAAATAATGAGGGCGTGCATTATTTTACATAACATGATAGTAGAGGATGAACGAGATACGTATTCGCGAAACTGGGAAAATATCGACTTTGAACCGTCGAACAATGCTAGCTCTAGCGCCTCTTTCAATGTTCAAACAGACGTGTTGCCGGAGTTTCAAGTCCATGTTCAACACCGATCTGAGGCAGATAATCAGACTAGAGCGGAACTACGAGATAAGACCCAACATATTCAGCTGAAGAAGGATCTCATCGAGCACATTTGGCAGAAGTTTGAGACAACCTCCGATTAGATTTAGCAATTTAGTGTGTTTTCTTTAATGTTTTCAATAATTTGGGTGTGTTTGGTTTTCCGTATGCTTAATAAAACCGTGTGTTATTTTATGTTAATTTAAAAATATTATTGAAAATTAAATTAATAATATATATTTAAATATTAGATATTATTTATTGAATTATTAATAAATTATAATTATAAATATATGAGTTATATTAATAATAATAATAATAAAATAGTAATATATATGAAATAGGAAAAAGAATGAATAAATATGGTGGGGTATATGTTGAAGTGAAGTGGTTTATGGTGGTCACCTTTTCAAAAAACTCCTGCTGCAACCAAATATCTCTTCAAATAACCCCTGCTGCATATGGTCTAATGAAGGGTAGTTGTTCAAATAATTAAATTCACATGCAATTGCAGAGACATGTGTCATAGGGCATGCAACATCAAAGACATGTGTCGTAGGGCATGCAACATCAAAGACATGTGTCATAGGGCATGCATGTGCAGAGAGTTGTCAATTCATATTTTGTATTATTATGCAGGTGTAGTCATTTCATCCTTTGTATTTTTTGCAGTGAAAGGTCAATTCAACATTTGTTTGTTTTTGCAGGGAGTAGTAATTGTATCTTTTGTACTATTATGCAGTGAGAAGTCATTATCAATCGGCTTTATTGAAACATAAACAACAATTTTATTCAAATATAAACAACACTTTTATTAATACATTCAACAAACATAGGCACCCACACAACTCCAAAATTAAACAAACGGCACACAAAAACATCAGAAAGAAAACACACAATCATAACTTCTTGAGAAGGTCTTATTTTCCAAACAGGTTCTTCCTCAACATATTATAAGCTTCTTCATCTTCATCGTCACGATCTGGTTTGTTTTTCAAGAATAACCACATCTCCATATTCTTGGAATGAGCCAGGTTATTCATAGCTGAAGCAGTACTTGATCTTTTCTCTTCAAATTTTTCATGAGCACTGACTAGCTTAGATAAGTCCTCCTCAATTGCCCCCTTTGATTTCCTTGACACAGATGTTTTACTAGAGGAACCTCTAGCTTTCTTCTTTGCCACGTCCCTACCCTCTGGACGTACAAGGGTAGAAGTTGATGATTCAACATCCTCACCACTACTCTTTCTTTTAGAGCCACTACTACCAGATGCATTTCCTCCTGTCATATATTTGGATTGATTACGAACCACCTTCCACTCATCCACCAAATTAAACGTCGTACCTATTTTCTCAAAGTACAACTCTCTTGCCTTGGATATGTAGTTTTCATCGGACCAACCGCTACGCTTCTCCCTACATGCAGTACTGTAGCAGCCAATGAAACTGGATATCTTTCTGTTGATGTCTTTGAAATGACTATGGCACCGAGACACAATCCTCTCCTTTCCACTTTTGGCGTTCTCATTCACGTACTGTGTAATTTTACCCCGGAAAGTTTCACCCTTTTGGTTGTTCCCCAACTCACTATCATTACTAATATGAAAATAACCAGTTAGTAAAAGTATGTTGTCTTCGGTGGTCCAAGTTTCATAACTTGTTCTCTTTGCTGATTGTTGGGTTGGAGGGAGAAAACTGTGAGGAGTATCCCCACCAACATTTCCCAAAGACATTTGGGTGGAAAATTCTGGGATATCTGTAGATCCGCTACTAAACCGGGGTGT